ATTGCTTTGGCTATTTGGGTTCTTTTTTGATTCCATATGAATTTTAAAATATATATTTTTAAATTCTCTGAAAGATATCATTGGTAGTTTGACAGGAATAGCATTGGATCTATAAATTGCTTTGGGCAGTATGGCCCTTTTTAAACATTTTTTATTATTTATTATTATTATTTTTTTGAGACAGAGTCTCATTCTATCACTCAGGCTGGAGTGCAGTGGCGTGATCTTGGCTCACTGCAACCTCCGTCTCCTGGGTTCAAGTGATTCTCTTGTGTCAGCCTCCCAAGTAGCTACGATTACAGGTGCACACCACCACACCCAGCTAATTTTTGTATTTTTAGTAGAAATGAGGTTTCACCATGTTGGCCAAGCTGATCTCAAACTCCTGACCTCAAGTGATCCACTTGCCTCAGCCTTGCAAAGTGCTGGGATTACAGGCATGAACTGCCCTGCCCAGCAGTATGGCCCTTTTAAAAATACTGTTTCTTCCTATGCATGAGCATGGAGTATTTTTCCATTTGTTTTTATTGTCTCTGTCTTCTTTGTTTTCTATTTCTTATAGAGATCGTTCACCTCCCTGGTTAGCTGTATTCATAGGTATTTTATCCTTTTGTGGTTGTTGTGAATAGGATTGCATTCTTGATTGGCTGTCAGCTTGACATTATTGGTGTATAGAAATGCTTCTGATTTTTGTACCCTGGAGCTTTACTGATGTTGTTTAACAGTTCTAAAAGCTTTTGGGTAGAAACTCTGGGGTATTCTAGGTTTAGAATCATATCATCTGTGAAGAGAGATAGTTTACTTCCTATCTTCCTATATGGATGCCTTTTCTTTCCCTTGCCTGATTGCTATGGCTAGGATTTCCAGTACCATGTTGAATAGGAATGATAATAATGGACATCCTTGTCTTGTTCTGCTTTTCAAGGTGAATGCTTCCAGGTTTTACTCATTCAGTGTGATGTTGGCTATGGGTTTTTCATAGATGGCTCTTATTATTTTGTGGTATGTTCCTTTGATGCCTAGTTTGTTGATGACTTTTAACATGAAGGGATGTTGAATTTTGTCAAAAGCGTTTTTGGCAACAGTTGAGATGATCACGTGGGTTTTTTGTTTGTAGTTCTGTTTATGTGATGAATCACATTTATTGATTTGCATGTGTTGAGTCAACCTTGCATCCCAGGAATAAAGCCTACTTGATTGTGGTACATTAGGTATTTGATGTGCTGCTGGATTCTTTTTCGTAGTATTTTGTTGAGAATTTTTGTATTTACTTTCATCAGGGATGTTGGCCTGAAGTTTTCTTTTTTTGTCATGTCTCTTTGCCAGATTTTAGTATCAGAGTGATGCTGGCCTCAATGAATGAGTTAGGGAGGAGTCCCTCCTTTTCATTATTTTGAAATAGTTTCAGTAGACATGGTACCAGCTCCTCTTTGTACCTCTGGTAGAATTCAGCTGTGAATCCATCTGGTCTAGGACCTTTTTAGCTGGTAGGGTTTTTTAAATTACTGATTCAATTTAAGAACTTGTTATTGTTCTGTTCAGGTATTTAATTTCTTCCTGGTTCAATCTTAAGAGGTTGTATTTTTCCAAGAATTTATGATTTCTTTTACATTTTCTAGTTTGGGTGCATAGAGGTGTTCAAAATAGTCTCTGAGGGTGTTTTGTATTTCTGTAGGATGGGCGGTAATATCCCCTTTGTCATTTGAGATTGTGTTTATTTGGATTTTCTCTCTCTTTATTAGTCTAGCTAGTTGTCTATCAATCTTATTTATTCTTTCAGAAAACCAGCTTTTGGTTTTGTTGATCTCTTGTATTCATTTTTGCATCTCAGTTTTATTCAGTTCAGCTCTGATTTTGGTTATTTTTTTTTCTTCTGCTAGCTTTTGGGTTGGTTTCCTCTTGTTGTTTCTAGATCCTCTAGAGGTGATGTTACTTTGTTAATTTGTGATTTTTCTAACATTTTGATGTAGGTGTTTAACGCTACAAACTTTCCTCTTAACATTGTTCTGGCTGTGTCCCAGAGACTCTGGGATGTTGTATCTTTGTTTTCAATAGTTTCAAAGAATTTCTTGATTTCTGCCTTAATTTTCAGAATACCAAAAGTCATTCAGGAGTAGGTTGTTTAATTTCCATGTAATTGTGTAGTTTTAAGAGATCTTCTTGGTATTGATTTATATTTTTATCATGCTGTGGCCTAAGAGTATAGTTAGTATGATTTTGTTTTTTTTAATTTGTTTAAAATTGCTTTATGGCTGAGCATGTGGTCAATCTTAGAGTGTGTGCTATATGTAGATGAGAAGAATGTATATCCTGTTGTTGTTGAGTGCAATGTTTTGTAGATGTCTGTTAAGTCCATTTGGTCAAATGTCAAGTTTAGGTCATGAATATCTTTGTTAGTTTTTTGCCTTGATTATGTGTCTAACATTGTCAGCGGGGTGTTGAAGTCTCCCACTATATTGTGTGGTTATTTCCATCTCTTTATCGGTCTTTAAGAACTTATTTATGAATCTGGATGATCCAGTGTTGGATCTGAAAAGAGTAATAAAAACATTATCATTACTACCATTATTATTTATTGTGGTTATTTTATATTTTGAATTAACTTCTAAGCTAAAAGATTTATCTTGAAAGAGTCCAACTGTTGGAATTCACTTTGTTTTAAATAGAAATAAAAGTGTTTCAAATGAAAGTCTGATGATTTAATGATCCCAAAAGTGATGAGTTTAACACATGAGTTTTTCTCACCTGCTTAATGGCACTCAATGAAGGTTTGAAATCCTTTTTTTTTTTTCCTGAAATTCTTTAAGTATTACACCCTTTGATTTTCTAGAAAACTTTCCTTAGTGTTAGTTGGAATTCCAGCTTCTGTTAAAAAATAAAGAGGAAGTCCTTCCTTCTTAAATTGGACATATGGCAACATTTGTGTGTGTGTGATTTCATATTTGTAGGACATAAACCTGAAAATTATATTCATTAAATGTATTCCGTGGATGAGGTTACTCTTCTTTAAAGATAAATTAACTCTACTGCAAGAAAATTGTTTCATCGATTACACTGCAGTGTAAGTAAAATGATACAGATGATCTTTGAATTTTGAAGTATTTGATTTTTTTTTCCTGTTCTGCTAAGGAAGAAAGACTGACTAATGTTACAGAACTTTCCAATTTGCCTTGTAAATGAAGCGTGTGTTGTGAATTTTAAATCTATTCTTCCATTGGCTCTGTATAAGTGTTTCCCAATTTTTTAGTGTGTTGGAGGGGCGTTAATTCTTGCTCTCTTCTCACCAAAGACCTTTTTAGACATTTTTTTCTTGATCATCGTCCACTCACATATACTGTAAATCAGTTTATGTATCACATTTATATCTGCACTCTATACTTAAAAAAGGAATTTTTTTTTTGACTTTCATCAGGTATCACCCCCATTGAGAATGCTTGTTTTCTGTTGGTTTTGTTTTTATTTTTTTAAAAGACAAAATCATATAGAAGAAATAACTTAACCTCTGGAGTCAAACCAGTCGGACGTTGGCTTGAATCCTATTTTTTTCACTTAGTAATTATTCAACCCAAGTGATTAACTTAATCTCTCTGAGGCTCAATTTTCTCATTTAAGAGATAGAGACTGTGATTCCTATGTGAAGTATTTGAAGCTTAATGTGATTAGTGGATATGAAAACTCCAAGCACAATCCTAAAAGTTGAATAAATACTAGCTTAAGGAAGTCACTGCATGCAATCACTATTATTTTCCTAAGCTGGATTTCTGATAATTTTATCACTCCCTCTGGCCACACCAAAGAGTAAAACAGTCTTTTATTCAGGTAATATTTACATGTTTTCTCTGTGGCAAGTACTGTACTGATATTTTTTAAATGTATTATTTCATATTCTTCTCACAACAATCTTGTAGTGTAGCATTTATACCCCATTTTCAGCTAAGAGAACTGTGGTTTTGCAAGATTTGTAACTTGCCCTTCACAGAGCTAGTAGGCAGTAAATAGAGGCAGATGACTAGTTTCTCTATTACCAGGTTTGTTTGTTTGTTTGTTTGTTTGTTTATTTTGAGGGGAGACAGGGTCTCACTCTGTCACCCAGGCTGGCGTGCAGTGGTGCAATCTCAGCTCACTGCAACCTCTGTTTCTTAGGCTCAGATGATCTTCCCAGGTACTTTAAAAGATGGAAAGATGCTCATCCTAGTGACAGACCAAGAGACTATACAACCCAAATTGGACAGTTAAGGTGCCCTGATTCCCTACAGTATTGCTTTATTCCCCTCTGTTGCCAAAGTCCTATACTGAGACATTCATAAGTCCTTCATGGAGACTAACAGATCAATTTAAAAAATAATAAATAAGAAGTCAGGAAATACTCAATGAAATATAGAAAATATTTTTTCTGTATCCCCTAACAATTGTGTACTTATTTATCCTTTAAACTTGAATATGGCATGTATTACAGACTAACCCAAATCTAAATGTACTTTCAAGAGTCTTGATGCTTAAGTAGGTATTTGAAATGAATAAGATGTGGTTACAGGGGTCTTTATGTCTTATTACATGCCCCTATACATGACAAATTCAAGTCCCATTATAAAGTAACATCAGTTATCTGTCTGTTATTCAGGTTTAAGTCAGATAATATAATCATATAATCTTTCTGAGATATGTTTAGCCTGGAAAAGGAAGTATGTGAATTTCCCTTATTAAAAAAATTGAAGAAATACAGAGGTACAGAAAATCCAGCGATGATGGCAAAACATTTAAAGGGTCCTGTGGATGTCTCTCTGAGGAAGCAGAATTTAAACTGCATTTACAAAATGGAAAATTTAAGGGTTACTCAAACATACTGTTTTTCAGATCATCTACGAAAATCTCTTCCCAGGGTGACTTCACTTGTCCATAGAGCCTGTATTCTGTTACGTTACATATGATATAAGCAAGAACAAAACCTTTCCACAACTTTGCTTTTTCATAGCACATGGATTGCATTTCCAGTTTGTTAGCTCTGCAAGTTAGACCTTTTGAAGTGTCCCACATTTCTTCAAAAAAGATGATGTGCATCCTCTAGGTAACTGCAGTTCTTGTAGGTAGGTAGGTGGAATTCTAACTTGAGTTCTTTGGCAGTGAAGATGATACCCTATATATTAATGTAGTATCTGTCTAATGTAAATTTTGTTTGATGAATATCAAGTATTTTATGGAAAATGTTTCAAACAGTTAAAATTAGGGCCTGAATCTGGGGCTAGAAGTAAGTTTTTCTCCGGCAATAAACTGTTTGATTTCTTCTTTCTTGGCCTGTTTTCTTATCTGGAAACAAGATATTCAGTGCAATTTAATACATATTTGTTAAACACTTTCTATTGTTCTACTGTTTGCCATGCACTGTGTTAATAAGGAGAGGTGATCAAATGAGATAATAGGTGGCAAACTGCTTTGCAATGTTTTCAACACTACAGAGATACAGTTCTACATGATGGAGAACCTTACTAAGATACTCCTTTTGTGGGGGAGAAAACCTTTTTCTAACATCATGTTATTTTCCTACCTAAGAGCTCTTCAGTTTAATCTTAGGAACGTTGGAATCATAATTATTATTTCATTCATTATTTCATACTTTCATTTATCCCAAGTTGCATAAATCTTAATGTTGATTCACCTTTGGTTTTCTGTAGATACCAAGTGAATTTTGAGATCATAAACAGTTACCTTTGAGCCTGAAAGTTTGTTTCTAATTTGGGAGATCATATGCTCTTATTAATTTACTGAGAAGATACGTAGAATTTTGTTTTTCATACTTCTGTGTTTTGGCCTGGTTTTCTGTTAAACTATCAGCTTCTATACTTTCTTCTAGAACTATGTATATGTGTTGATCATTGTTCTGGGAATAGCCTTTTCCTTCTGTCATCTGGATGTTCTAGATCACTCTGAATCTTCTATCTTGATTTAGCATTCAAATAAAAAATAAGATATTGAAAATGATGGAATTAGTGGGAACTGGTGACAGGAAGGGGGAAACCCAAAATTTTTTAGAAGCTGTGATTTATTTCATGGATAGTCTTTCTAAGTTAATGATACAATCCTAGGGGATCAGTTAAATAAACTTATAAAGTGAAATACTGTAAAAACTTACCTGTGGTAGAAATAGCTGTTTTTTAAATCATAATTTCCATCTGGCAGTGCAATTGTACAGTGTCTCTATTTTGCTGATTTGGAGCCAAACACACTCATTAGCCACGTTAGATTCAGTTACTATTCTAGTGTCATCTATCATTTCCTTTGTAGTACAGACCAACAGAGTTGAGTCCAAGGACACTGGACAGGGTTGATGGTGGTGGGGGTAGGGGGGTGTTGGTGAGGAAAGGGAGAACAAGGATGGTGAGAGAAAAGGGCAAATGGGTACATTTGAGAAGAAAGATTGTGTAAGCTATGAAAATGATTTGATATTGACCAACTTATTTGACCAATTATTTGCTGCTGTTCAGCTCAAAATAGTGCTTTGAATCTTAAAAGTGAATATAAATTTTTGAAATGAAATTTAATCTACAATAGGCTGAACACTAAAAAGCATATTCTGTAGGCAAAGTAAATATAGTTTGCCCTCCAATCTCAGATGATAATAGTACAAGCATATTTCCTGTGATGGAAAAATGTCTACATATCTGTTATATCTACTATAAACTAGGTAAATGTCCTTCCCGTTAACCACATATGTTAATGTTCCTTCTTTCTGAGACTCAGTTTACTCGTCTAAAAAATGAAAGTGAGCTCTAAGATACTTTCCAGCTCTAAAATAACATAATTCTGTCACCATATTTGAATGCTCAACGATCAAAACATTTAAAATCGAGCATGATTGGGTTGAAACACTTTAGAAGCCTCTCAAACCTGTCAAAAAATTTTATTTGAGCATTGTGATACTCTAAATACATTTCTTCCTTTTTCTTTCAAAGAAAACAGGACAAATAAAACACGCATTTGTCAAAAACTTATGACATAAGGAAGCCATATACAAAATGCAATTAATATCTCCTGTTTTTTAACTCACTTCATAACCAGTATGTTTGTCATTGTGAAACTATAATGTAATTTTACTTGCTCGTGTTTCTATTAACTGTGTTACCATATCTTTTCCCCTTCAAGGATTTCTTGCTGGTACTATATTAACTGGTACCCTAATTCTAGTCATTGGAATATGGAAAATCAGGGTGAGCAGAAATTCTGATGATTTTTTAAAATTTATTCCTAGTTTATTTCCAGTAAAATTTGGTACTGTATCAGTATGACTCTCTTAGCTTTATTTAAATTTTGGCATGTCTCCGTATTTATTTTTGTCTGTAATTACTATCCTGGATTAACAGACTTCATGTCTGTTTTTCCTCAATATATTCAAAGGCACATTTCAAAGCAAAGTGACTTGAAGTCTCATTTTGTGATCTATCGATCCACTGATTTTTTTTTCCACTCAGTATAATTTATGGTAATATCTAAGTGTTGCACAGAAGCAAAGAAGTCTAGGAAAAATCAACCTCTAACATACTGTGAAATTGCCTGTGATGAGGGCTTTTTCTCAGTTATATTAATAGATGCCAGTCCAGCTCAAAACAGCGCAGTGGTTAAGAGAGCAGACTCTGGAGCCTGACGGCTCAGTTTGAATCCTGGATCTGCCATCTGGGAATTATTTGACTGTGAGCAATTTAACCTCTCTATACCTCAGTTTACTTATTTGTAAAATGGGGGAAATATAGTACCTACCTCATGTGATTATAGTAAGGATCAAATGAGTTGCCACCTGTCAAGTGCTTAGAACATTGCTTGGCACATAGTAAGCACTCAGATATTAAAACAACAACAACAACACACACACACATCAGTATTATTTAAAATATCTAATCTGCATTGAATATACATAATGTTAAGTATAAATGTCACCATTGGCTCTGATGTGTCCTGTAGCAAAGGATGATTTAAATTGACCTTCTTCTGTTTTGTAGTTTTAACTGTTAGAAAACTAGTGGAATTTATACAAACGAGTTATTTCTAAGCTGCCCTAATGCCTGTCCATTTTTCCCATTAATAAGAAAACTATAATTTAATGCTGTTATTAAATTGTCTGTTTTAATTCTTTGGATGATGTGACCTATCTCCTTTTTACCCTCTACAATTTTTCTACTTAAATTAACAATATTACTTAGGCCTATTATAAGTTAAAGTATGTAAATATTCTTTGACTCACTAAATGAGTCAGTCTTTTGGAAAAATATTTGACCATTAGGTCCAGGGGAGTGATTAATAATTTTTACAGGCATTTGTTTAATATCAACAAAATATTCTAGCTGTCATGATAGCAAATATAGTAAGACATAACTTTTTCTCCAGATATATCAGAAATGTTTTAGGAATGTGATTTAGAACCTAACAAAAACTCACAGTTAGTTCTAAGTCATCTAAAGTGAATTGGTATGGAAGCATCAGCAAAGCTACTCTGAAAAAAAATTAAACCACCAATCTTATGTACTTTCTTGTATTTGTTCCAACTCTCCTTTTGAAATACTGTTATCAATTTATCAAGTTATCAAGTATCAATGTATAGAGTATTATCAGTTTACCAAAGCTACTGCTTTGAGGCTCTCTGGATCGGTGGGAGTGGAGACTGGGTGGGGCAGGACAGCAGGATGTGGTAGGTTTACCAGGTGCTGTCTCTTGGCTTTCATCAGTTTCTTTACATACTTTGGTAAGGTGATTGGCTGTGATACTTGTATGTCCTATTAAGGAACTTAGAAGGAAGGAATATAGTAACTTCTGCTTATCCTTGGTTGGGGGCAGGGTGTTTCAAGACCCCCCAGTGAATGCCTGAAACCACAGATAGTGCCTAACTCTATATGTGCTGTGTTTTTTTCCCATATGTACATACCTGTGAGATAAAGTTTAATTTATAAATGAGGCACAGTAAGAGATTAACACTAACTAATAATCAATTAGAACAACTTATTGTAGCAAAAGTTATGTGAATGGGGTCTCTCTCTCTCTGTCTCTCTCAGAATATCTTATTGTATTGTACTCACCTATTTTCAGATTGCAGTTGACTGTGGGTAACTGAAACCACAGATAAGGAGACTAGTGTATTTGTTTTGAATTGTATTTTGGGGTTTTGCAGTGAACTTAATTGCTTATTTTCTGAATTAGAGGGAAACTCTTGCAAACTCCTAAGAAAAATTTGTCTTTTTTATGTGCACATAAAAAATATTCCACTTGCCTTATTTTGGAAGCATAAGCTGTTGAGGGTAAGAGCTAGCTTTACATATGTTTGGCTAGCCTCCTGATTTCATACTGATTTAATTAAATATTTGATCTTAATCAAGACAGGATATAGTTAATGTGCAGGTGATGATGTGGTTTCATTTAATGATTCTTCATGTTTGCCTATCAGAGGGTTGATTTATTTCTTTTAGAAGAGTTAGGTCTATATGATAAATTTTAGTTTAGGGATGGAAGTGTAAGCAGATGCCTGACTTTGTTTTTTGATGGAAATGACAGTTATATATTTCAATTCAATAGTTTTTTTCTTCTCTACTATTCAGCTCTTACAATGCACATGAGAGCAACAAAGTACTCAATGTTGTGTTTGACCATTTAAGTGTGACTGATGGTCCCTCAGAAATAAGACTTTCTGGTAAATTATAAAAGGTATATATGGTTTAATAACATCACATTTCTGTATCTTGTAAAATATCCATTAATACCCTTGGCTAGGGGGTTCTGGTAAATTATAAAAGGTATATATGGTTTAATAACATCACATTTCTGTATCTTGTAAAATATCCATTAATACCCTTGGCTAGGGGGTTCTTCATGACTTTTAAAGGATAATAGAGGCTTAAGTCAATACTGGCGTTAGAGTTGTTTTTTCCTTTGTTGAATGAATGACTAGCGCATCGAATCATTACTGTGACACGTTGTCAGTTCTGGACTTGGTAACAGTATGCTTATTATCTCATCCTATGTTTTGAAGTCAGTTTATTGTAATGATTAGATGTATAATGCCACAAATATTTGGGGGGAAAGGGATGATATATTAGGACTTAAAGAGAATGCCTTCATTATGATAATTTGCATCATGAGATGGTTGACCTACCTTGTATTTCTCCTTTTGCTTGGTGGCTTTTAGAGTTTTCAGTGTTTAAGAAAAATTATAATATGTGCTAAGATATCCTTTTATAGGTCATGTTTATAGATCTTAAAAGACATCTCATATCTTTATACAAAATTATCACACAAAAATAACTGTGTAAATGTGTCTGTAAAACTGAGTGTCTTCATCTCTTAATCTTCTCTTCCACATGTAGTAGTATTCAGGGGTTTTTATTTATTTTTATTTTTTTTAACATCTCCCACACTTAGGAATTCATTGACTTTTAATCTGAAGGTACCCTAATTCATTCTAGCTTAGCCACTCTTCATCTCGAGAAACTAAAAACTCCATGTCATATTTTAGTTGTTGCTGTAGCTGATAAACCCTACCTGTAGAATCTTGTCCATATTCTATTACCATTATTTTTTTTGTTTTGCACCCCAAATTAACTGATTCTTTTTGGCGATTTATCACATAGTAACTAAAAATTAATGTTTATCACTAGTAAATAAAATCATTTTGATTTTAACTTTTTTTTTTTTTTTTTTTTTTGAATTTTCAGGGTACACGTGTTTCACGTTGACAGGTTTGCTTGGGACGCTAGTAACCATGGGCTGGCTGACTTAGCCAAAGAAGAGTTAAGAAGAAAATACACACAACTATACAGACTGTTTCTAGTCTCTTAGACTTATCTGCATATTGGATACAATAAATGCAATTGTGCTTTTCATTTAGGATGCTTTCATTGTCTTTAGGGTGTGTTAGGAATGTCAACAAAGGAGAAAAAAGGCAGTCCCAGAATCACATTCTCAGCACACCTCTACCTCTTGAAAATAGAACAACTTGCAGAATTGAGAGTGATTCCTTTCCTAAAAGTGTAAGAAAGCATAGAGATTTATTCATATTTAGAATGGGAACACGAGGAAAAGAGAAGAAAAGTGATTTTTTTTCCCACAAGATCTTCCTACTTATGAAGGAAATAAAAAATGAAAAACATTTGGATATCAAAAGCAAATGAAAACCCAATTCAGTCTCTTTTAAGCAAAATTGCTAAAGAGAGATGAACCACATTATAAAGTAATGTTTGACTGTAAGACATTTTCATTTTTCCTTCAGGTTGGCAAAATATTTTAAAGGTAAAACATGCTAGTGAGCCAGGGGTGTTGATGGTGACAAGGGAGGAATATAGAATGAAAGACTGAGTCTTCCTTTGTTGCACAAATACAGTTTGCAAAAAGCCTGTGAAAGATGTCTTCTTTGACTTAATGTCTTTAAAAGTATCCAGAGATACTACAGTATTCACATAAGAAAAGATTATATGTTATTTCTGAAGTGAGATGTCCATAGTCAAATTTGTAAATCTTATTCTTTTGTAATATTTATTTATATTTATTTATGACAGTGAACATACTGATTTTACATGTAAAACAAGAAAAGCTGAAGATATGTGAAGAAAAATTTATTTTCCCTAAATAGAAATAAATGAGTGATCCCATTTTTTGGTCTCATGTAGTATTTGAAATTTATTCTTAAACATGACTACTTTATTTCTGAATAAGAAATTCCCTACCTGCCTCCTACAAGCAGTTCAGAATCCTGTCTCTTGGTTGTCCTAGTGCGAATAATTTTCAGTTACTTTAAAATTATATTGTACTTTCTCAAGCATGTCATATCCTTTCCTGTTAGAGTACCTATATTACTTGTTCCTGATTTACCTGAAGACAATCTGATTAATTTCTAGGTTTTTACCATATTCTTGTCATCTTGCCAATTACATTATAGGTATTAGACTAGACTAAGATGTACTAGTTATATAGAATATAACTAGATTTATTATGGCAATGTTTGTCATTTTGCTTCATCTGTTTTGTTGTTGAAGTACTTTAAATTTCCTACGTTCATGGAATTTCACTGTGAAGACTTTAATGTGTATTTCTCAAAATAAAACTTTTTTTTCCTCCTTAACCACAGTTATCACAACTAGCAGTACTATCAATAATTTCCT